TCTTTCCTGACTGAACCCGGCACATACATGCAGTTAGAGCAACGTGGGCCAAATAAAGTATTAGAAATATGCAAAACAGCCTGCAGTAACAAATCCAGTACCTGATTTCTTGGCTGTACTTTGCACTGCTCCAGCACCAGGACTCCCAGGAGAGCCACTCTTTTTGCTCAAGAGACTGTTAAAGAAACTAGCCAAGACACCTTCGCTTGCAGTATTATCTAAATAAAAAACAAATATATATATATATAAAAACCAAATATATATATATATATATCACGAAGTAGTTATTGCTGGTAAATGATAGAACTTATTTTTTAACATGCACACATAACTCTTTTACCACTCAAGGGAATAAACCTCGAATAAGAGAGAGTCTCTCCTTGCTCAATTTTTAAATTGACACCAGTCCTTTGCATTCTTTGGCAAAGCCAGAGATGACTGAAAGCGTATTCCTGCTCTTCTGGAATGGGTGGGTTTTCAAAGGGGTGTCATAAAATTTTAATTTTAATATTTGTATGCAGTTGTTTTTTCTAAATGTAGAAGCCAAGAAACGAAGTATTAAGTATAGATGTGCAATTCAAAGATCCACAGGTCCATTAACAAACTGCACGGACATGTTGGTAAATCAGAACTTGCACGTACAGCTGTGAGACATGAGCCCGACCTGCATGTTTTACCCACGGCCATGCAGCGCGTGATGGAGAACAACACTGGCCCTACCAACTTTCTGAATGCACAGCAGGGAAAGAAACCACTCAACAACGTGGAGCTCCGTCTTAGGGCTGAGGGAGGGGAAAGGGTGTAATTTCCATCTTACTTCAAGCAGTGTAGAAAATGACATTCTAGAGAGGGTTCAGTAGAAGAGCAGGTTTCCCTGTGGACTCCAGAGTAAGTAATATGACGTGTAAAACTGAGTGTAGTGTAAAGCAGTCCTCACCCCAATAATCCAAGAGATGCTTAATAAATGTGTTTAGGCAACTTCCGGAATTAATGCATCTGAACTCCTTCTGACTGCTTGGCATCAACACAACTCTACCTGAGGTCATATGAACGACTCAAAAGCAGGAAAATGAAACCTGAAGCTATGTCATAAATTCCTTCCTGTTACTAAACTAACTATACCCTTTGTGAATAAATTCCAGAATCTTCCTACAAAAGAGGTTTTGGGGTTGTTTTTAAGGGAAATAACACATGATAAAACCAGTAAAATGCTCATTCTTACTTTTAATATTTGGATCTGGTTTCTTAACAGATGTTATCGGTGAGGCACTGGGTACACTGGCGGGACCAGCTCTGCCTTGAGTTCTTGGTGATCCTGCAGGTCCTCTAGCAGGCGATTCCTTAAAAGAAGTACAAATCACACAAATCAGAGAAGAATTTAAATGGATTCATTACTTAAAGCAAATGTAACGTTACATAGAAATTACTTTAGAAACCTTTATACTGGCACTGTGGTGCCTGTGCACTGGGCAAAAACACCCCAACAAAACACCAATTATTCTGGGTGTGTGCCTCCACTAAAAGAAAGGATGAATCACTGTAGGAACTTTTCAGTTCAAGAATCATCAGATATTTTTAGGTTTACACAATGAATTACAATGAAGTATTTGTAAGCAAAATTTTTAAAACATTGCCACTTTTTTAGTTTATTCATCTTCTACAGTTTGGGAAGATTATGTATTTGTCACCTGTATTTACAAAATGAACCTCTACAGGTTAGAAACACTCCCTCTTCCCTAGAAAGAAACAAACCAGCTACTCTTCTCTTGGCTCTACTTACTGATGCTCTTGTAGGCGTTGCTGGCTGTTTGGCAAGGAATGACTGTGAAAACAACATATTAAGAATATTGATTATAGTCCAGAAAATACAAAGGAATATAATACAGTGAAGTTGACTAACCACCAATTTATTTGATCTTTTTTTGCCCCAATATTTACACACTTCCTCTTTGGTATTTATACACTTCCAGACTTCACCACTAGAGAACACAGTCAAAATAACTAAAGAAGTTTCAGTTCTTTGTCTTACATAGATGTATATGGTATCTATGTGATATAGATATCTATGTCTTCAATACATAGACTATAAGTCAGAACCATAGACACCCAGGTCTGTAACCCCTACAATATTTATAATCAACTATACAGGAAAGTATTAACAACAGAGCAGTAAAGAAAATAACATGGTACAGCATGGCCAAATTTGACATCTTAAGGCCTTTCAGACCTCGGGCTGTAAAACAACTGCAAAGCTAAGATGTTGGTTTAGAAGTATTTATATTTTACAGATCAATACATTTATATTGTGAAATTTCAAGTTATCTTCTTGCTCTTCTCCTCTGAAACAAATTATTTCTGTTCTTGGCATATTCTCCTTTCAACTTGCCAATGTAAGTGACCATATTTTCTATTCATATTTGTTAAAGAAAAGTCTTATTTCACAGTTACATCTGAATCTGCAAAGCTGAAAAGTGGCTATCTAGTGATTTACATGAGGAATTAAAAACTGAAGGCAGAAACAATGGAGAACTTACAGTGAAATCTTATTTGGAAAGGACTTACTTTCACTGTCCATTCTTACCTGCTGCTTCATAAGAAATACTTGCTCATCTTCTGCTGCCAGCTCTTTATCATGGACTAACTGTTGAACAAAGTATTTTGTTATTAAAAGTAAAGACTGAAATTACTGTAACTATTTTTATGTGTTGGTGATCAAAAGAGAAGAAAGAAAGGCAAATCTTTAATACCATTCTTTACTCCTTTAAACAAACATACAAACAAATCCCCAAAAACCCACCAGCTTCCTTCACATTTAGAAGAGCAGCAGCATTAAAGTACTGTAAGTGAACGGAGCAGACTAGCATTGAGCCAGCCTGTGGGTATTCTCCTAGAAAGATGAGTACTTGGTAAGTAGCCACACTCATCTTTTTAAGCTGAAGTATTAATCTCATCAGCATCTTTTCAAAGACCTGAGATTACTTTACTCCGTAAGACTGCCGTTCAATCCCTCATCTCCCCAAAGCACTACGCGAGCTCTTATCAGCCATAACACCACCATTAGGCAATGATTATTTCCTACAGGTGCCATGAGTTACAAACAACAGGATTTAACATTTCCCTTACATGCAAGCTTCAAACAGCTCTTCCCTTTTCCAAGTACCAAGGCTAGAAATGTTAAGTGTGTAAGACAGTTGTAACAGAAGCTTTCCCATACGGAGCAGAATACAGTTTCATTCATGATTTTTCGTATCATCCATTTTACACATATCCTATTCCTGTGTGCCTATACTCAAGAAATGAGCAATATACAGAATTTATATGGATTATTCACTGCTCTTGCCTCACATGAAGAAATCTGTCAATAATACGTTCATGCAACAGTGATATACTGTCATCTTTTACAAGATTTGCCTTTACACGGCAGCCTCAACGCCATGTGTGCGTCTAGATGCAAATCGTTGAATCCCACAACAGCATTCTCCGTCTCCAAAAAGGGGTTTTGCCCCACGCATGCAAAAAGGGTCATGTGAAATGGTTATTTCGGGACTGCCTTTCATTCACTAAGGTGAATGATTTCTGTAGTTTGCTTGCAGTATTTTAAACAACTGGAAAATGAAAACCTGATGTTGCACACTTTTGGATTAAAAAACGAAACCAAACAAACACAAACCAAAACCCCACACCATTTAAATTTGGAGCTCTTCAGTATTAACCGTTATTAGATATTCAAGCAAACTGCACTTATTTGTCGCAGGGCAGGGAAGAGTTTACTCCTTTTACCTTTCTTACAGGAGGTTTTACAATGAAGTCCTCATATGCATCTTCTGGTTTCACTGTTGTGAAGTTTTCATGTAAAATGGCAATTTTCTTTTCATTGTCCCAACCAGCAGGTCTGTAAAAAGAAGCAGCTTTGCCTTTTCAGTCACAAACAACACTTCTACAGAGATCATATTTACTGCCCCCTACCTGAATAAGGCAATTTTATTATAGGTCAGTCCTAATTCTCAGCTAAATTCCAGAGATACCAAAAAGCTGGTATGGCACACTCCGAGCCAAGCAACCCAAGTAATATGCACTGAGTTGGGGTTTTGATTTAGGATTTCAGAAGACTCGCATACTAAGCTTTGGAACGTCACAAGCCGCTCAAGTTATTTTTCCATGTGTGTCATATGAAGTGTAGTGCTTAACAGAAAGCAATGGGAAACCATGCTGCTTACACAACTGACTTACATAAAAACTGCATCCTTTTCTACCACTAAGGCAGGTGTGGTAAACTGAAAACCGTATGTTTTATGTACAATGTACTTATACAACAGATCAAGGTTCTTTTCCTCCTTAACTGATGTATAAATCAAGGCAGCCCCATCTGGTTATTTATTATTTAAGGAAAAATATGTAAGATAAAGCTTTAAAATTATATTAAGAATTTCAAAACAGGACCTAATGGACATATAATATCTACTAGACCTCATTTTGAGAGGTTCAAGTCAAAAGCTGTAGCCGTTTCGCATTCAGGGGGAGGAAGTGGGCGTAACACCATGACGACTCATGACACTAACGTCACCTACCCTCCCATGCACTTAACTCCGAAAAAGTCAAAAACCTAAGAGGCAGCTGAGGTCTCAGGTTTACACAGAAATTGCAGGTTCTGAGGGGAAAACCAAGACAAATCACCTCACAAAATGCCAGACAAATCCTCTGTAAAGGAACAAAAGCTCCAAATCCCATGCCCAATTTAAAAACTATGAAGTTTTATACAGCTCTCAACATATCCAAAACAACAAATATTACATAGTGAATAACTAAACGCCAAGCAACCTTGAAGTGTAATTTCTCAGATTAACTTTATGTGCAATTCAACACTGAGAAGTATTTTCTTTCATCCAGATTACAGGAAAGATCAGGAAAGGATACACTGCAAGCAAAATCTACGAATGTGCGACTGAATGAAGTCGAAGTGTTCTTCTCTGTAATCATGCTCCTTCTCTAGCACACTCACTGCATCGCACTGGACAAAAGGAGAAAAACAAACCCAGGAAAACCCAGTCATTTCCTCCCAGCACATCTTGAAACGTTTCCCTTAGCATTACACACACGTCATATTTACTTCTGAGCCTTTGGTTTTAAAACGCCACCGAAAGATAAAGTAATTACCCTAACACTGATATGGTTATTACACTTCTGCAAAATTAAGGACAGACACTGACAACAGAAGCATTCTTTTAAAATAAATCCCCGGACTATTAATCCAGCATTCATTCTGCATGTCTGTGTGAAGTACGCCTTCTAAACGAGAAGTACTTAAACTTCTCCACAGTACCAAACAGAACTAAAAACTCACTTTTGTACAAACGACCAGCACAGGAATACCAAGGTTGTGAGTCAGCACGTTTTCTCCAAGTGGCAAAGAAACGTGTTCGTCCTCTTGGCCAGAAGAAGGGCCTCTTCTTTGCGGTGATCCTTGGTAGCCTTCTTCGGGTTCCACATACTCTTGAAATTCCTTTATAACTATTAAGAGAGAGATCTTATTAAGGTACAACAAAGGGATTAGTTCTTTTTAAGTCATAATTAATCTATCAGCAGCTAGAAATCTCAACTGGTTTTCCATTTATAATGAGGCACTACCTGAGAATAGAGTGCAAGTTTCAGCCTTGCCACCCCTTCAAACACAACAATTCTCCTCCAAAATTTACTGCAAGCTAAATCAAGTGCAATTTGGAGCTATCACAAACAACCAAAACCAGCTGCCAAAGCCACAGGATGCACAAATGCATTTCATTGTAGGGGAGCTGACAACAGAAAAAGTAAATGCGGTTTAGCAACCTAGCCAAGGCTCAGTGCCATCGGTACCTAGTTTGGGAAGAAGGCATGGCGACACGGGAAATGGCACACAGAACACCAAGCTAAGACAGCCACTATTTCCTATAAACCCTAACTCAATTTAAGTTTTTATTACTCTACATAATATAAAAATATAAAAAAATACACTGCATAAATACAAACTAAAGGACTTCTAAATGTTATCTGAAAGACTTAGCTATATTCTGGAAAACTACAGTGGAGTCCAGAGGAAACCAGATGCTTTCTGCTTTCAGTGTTTTCATTTTACTGCAACGAGCGTTCCAGTAATACCGAATACCAGCCAATCCTGAAGTGCCCAAGAAATAGTATTAACACCATTTTGGAAGAGCAGTGTGACCCCACACGCTTTATCAAAACTGGGCTGTAACTTGCAGCTTTTATGTCTTTCTGATGAAAGTCCCAGCCCAGCTAAACCTGCCCACTGGCTGTGTCTGGCCCAGGGCCCTCTCTCACACAACAATCCCACCCGAAGCCTCCTCCTCACCCAGCCATGAGGAGCCCAGAGGAGAGCCAAGAAAAGCTCCATGCTGTGCTCCCATGAAGGTGTGTTTATTTTAGCAACAGTGGGAGCTGGCTGGCCGTATGTACAGTAAGGAAAACTTAAAAAAGCTCCCCATCTCCAGCACGTTCACAAGGAGAGCGTTGTTCAGTACACCCATCCATTGACAGGGAATGAACCGCGTCCGTACTGCAGGCTATCCCGTACTTGTGGGGTTTAGGAAGTGGTAAAAGTTCATAACACAAATCTGGAAAAATGAAGTCATTGTACCTTTGCAAAAGAGTAACCATTCCTGCAACAGAATGGGCATGTGGAAGGAAGAACTAAGCTGAAAAACACTTCTGTTCAAAGCTGCGCAACTTTTATTAAAATGTAAAATTGTCTGATTCTTGTGGGAAACAAGAACGCTCTAGTCCAGAGAAAGGCTTAAAAAAAACCCCAAAACATTAAATACAGGCAGTAAGACTTTCAACCACCAATTCAGTAAATCCCAAGGATATAAAAAATTCGAATGCAGTTGCTTTTGAACTTGGGGAGGCGGTGCCTTCTGGTGGAGAGGAGACCAGGCTTTCAGAGACGCTCACCTCTAGTACCGTTTCATCTTCAGCAACTGGAAATCAAAACCCCACTGCACATTCTGCGCACTGAACATGCTTACTGGTGTCTCACAGAAGGCAAGTTAATTCCAGCACATTTAACTGGGAAGGGGTTAAAAAAAGGTACTTATTTCATTACTCAGACTCTTCCTAGCTCAGGATAGAAAACAACCTATTGAAGACAAGTGTATTACAGCAGTTAAAAGAACACCATTTACATCCACTGCAATCATTCAGATAAACCTCTCTGACATAACCAGATGCAAGAGAGTATTTGACAATACTGCTCTCAATTCACTACAACACTGTAGTCAGACAATATCAGTCTCTCAGGTTTTGTACGTATCAGGGTAGAAAAATCTTCTCTTTACTAAGATTATCAGTTAGTAGAAACCCCCCTCAAATCTGTGAAAGAAAAGCCTCTCTTGAAAACAGTAAGGCTCTGACAACATGATACAAATCATTATTCAAGATATCCCAAGAATTTTCCTAACATAAATAATAGCAAATGCAACATAGAAACTTCAGAAATCTGATGGCATTCTCATGAATTTCTGCTGAACGGGAAGGAAGACTGTAATCCCAGAGAGCTGGGATTCCCAACTCTTCCCTCTCCCCAAGAGTAAGCAGTGCCCAAGACCATGCATGACAGACTGTGATCGGCAAGGCTGTATCTCTCTCTGGTTGATCCATGCGTGGAGGGAGAAAAAAACTGCACTATGGCAATGAACTGTTGTTGTGGACTGTAAATAATGCTCATGGTCTGGCACGAACCCCTGCCCAGAGACGGCAAAACGCTACAGAACACACCCGGCTTAGTTCACAAGGTCTGCTGAACAAGTAACTACGAGCGTTAAAAGAAGGTAAAAGCTATGCTAAGGACCTCTGCCGTATCCTGAATGCAGATACACGTGTGTCTGAACTAAAGCGGTTTAAATCCCTGTTAGCGATCGCCTCTTAAACACTTTCAAAAGACTGATTCTACCCCCATTCCCATTCAAAATTCAGTTGTCTTAAATCGAGTATCACCAGTACTGTCAGACTACCTCTCGTGCACCAGCTGCATTTTAAGCAGCTAATAAAGAGGCTCCCTTCAGTTGCAGTGTTTGTCACACAGCAACGTGGTACTTCTTCCTTACCTCCCATACCTATCGCTCACTCGATCTCCACTCTCCAACTTTTCATGGACAAAGTTCATCATGCACTCCAACAGCTTGCATAAATCTTTTTTCCCCACCTTTTTTCTAGCAGGCCATGAGTATTTTCTTCTCCACATAATCTGTATTAAGGAATCATATTCTACATGTTATGGGAAATAACTCTTTAGTAATAATTTTTTTGGAACAGGAAATACAAGTAAGATGATGCACATAAAACAGGAAGCCAGAAAAACAGCTGTTCACCTGACAAATCGGTAATATTCTGTGGTCTCTCAGCATGGTTGAACCCTATTACATCTGAACAGTTACCACCTGGTGATAACGTGCCATGACGATCACACCTCCACTGCACTGTGCTGACTTCCCTAGCAAACCTCTGGCTTATCTAGGTAGAAAGCCTTTTATTCAGACTTCAGCATGTAACACAGCAAACGAATACACGTGTCCAGTTCCCTGTTTTATTCTCATACTACTGCTCGCTTACACAACCCACTGCCAGCTAACTCCCACAGGAACAGACCTATCATTCATGTCACAGGAGCAACTGACTCAAGGCACCAAGAAGGCAACCCGTAATCATTCTTATGTTTGACTGTTCTACCAACAATAAAATCCTCCAATCCTGTAGCACGGTTTAACCACAAAATGGGAGAGGTGGACAGATACAACTTATTTAACCTGACAGATCACAAAAACACTGACCAGCAGAACAAGAACACAGAAAAGATTTCTGAGATAACTGTTTCATATCCACACCATCAGTTCATGCAGCCTTTTTGTTCACGATCATCACTGATCATAAATTTTAGTCTTGTGAAAAGAATTCCTAGACAAAAGGTGTCTGGGCAAAGGGAGTTTATCTTTTAGCTTAAAAATTCTTTAAGCTGTGTGTCAGGGGAAAAAAAAAAAAAAAAAAGAGGCAGAGTGCCTGAAACTAATTCAGCTTAAACAGGACACTACTTAATTTTCAGGAAAACATGCTATTGTGTTTCAAGTCCACAGCTTCAAACTCTCCAGAGGACGTAAATATAACAGCCATTTTACCAGTGTACTTCCTTTCTGCATTTTTTCATTCCTGATAGTCTTTTCTACTTTACTGTGATAAACAGGGAGGCACAATACAGATCTTCCCTGAAATAATTATTCAAATGTGTGTTATTTAAGCAATGACTTATCATAATTGAGCCTGAATTAAATTAGAACATGTGAAGTGACATTATTTCTCTGAATCCACACCAGTCAAGCTTTAGCAAGGAATTTCCAGAGCAGCTCAGTGATAGGAGTGAGCACAGACAAACAATGCTCTTGGTATACTCGGAATAATTCCATTTCTTTCAAGGCAGCCTGTCACTTCCGATGTGTGTCCTGCCTCCCATTCTGGAAGCTCATCAGCACAAAAGGAAAGCTTCTCGTACACCAGATGGAGCCTCGCGTCACCCACCCAGTAAAGCCAAGAGTCGCTATCTCAAACACAAGACAAAAGGCTGGGTGGAGAAAGGCCACCAAAACCTCCAAGGGAAAGACAAGCAGTCCAAAGTCCAATTCCACTGAGAATGGTGAGCTAATGGGTTTCTGGAAACTGGTAATAAGATCCCAGTATCAGCGAAAGAACAACCCAGCAGGACTTCAAACAGATGCTAAGGGCGTAATACTAGGTGGTGTTTCCCCAGGGTCAACAAGATGCACTGGTTACAGGACTGAGCTAGGGAAAGCGTGCGGCCATGCAGCTCGGCCCACACGCCCCAGCTTACATCTAGAAGCAAGCTGGAGGGAATTTGGCTCTACAAGCTGAAGTCAGGAAACGTGGACGTCCACGTGGCATTATGTAGCAGTGGGGTTCCATTGCAGCGGGTCAGCACAGCTCTTCACTCTGCACCCCGTTTCCACGCTCTGACTGCCTGCTTTGCACACACGCTTCATTATCTCTGTTTTATCACACCTGGCCTATTTCAACACCATGATTCACCATTTTCTACGTGGCAGCTTACCTCAGGAAGCGTATGCAGGATTCGAGTACGGAAGCTATACTGAGGGACTGCAGTCAGAAGGCATCCTTCAGGCATGTCTGCTCTGCAAGGTCTCAGCAGTTACACTCATGTAGCCAGCGCTACAGCGGGAACTTATTCCAGCACCATGTGCTGTTAAGAGAATTACATGCTACGGTGGCCAAAGTTCTGAGCACAGATCTGGCCGTAGGGACAGTCTGCAAGAACTCAGAAGCATCTGAAATGACACAAGTGCCCTACACAGTGACTGAGGTAAGGACAGTGATGGCAGTTTGGGAGTGGAGCCGTCAAGGCCCCCGTTTTACCTGCATGCTGCTATCGGACTGAAGTTCAAGGCTCAGCCATGGGACGGCAGCAGAGTCCTGCAAGCGTGTGAATTAGGCAGCTCTGATTTTCCTTTGCCCTCCACTCTATCAAAGCACAAGTGAAACTAAAAATTTCTGTGATGCTTTAATTCAGAAATGTCTAAGAAAATAATACTGGAATGTCTTCTAAGTTCCCCAGACACAGTGTAAAGCTTTGCCAGAACTGCACCTGGCTACTCCACACAGTACACTCTTTAGTAAAGGTTGAGAACACTACTTCTTTAAAAATAAACTCCACATTTATTTGTATTGTCATATTTGTGTGTCTCAGAAAAGTGAAAATCGGGTTAGCTGCTGTATTTTGAGACCAGAACTGCCTTTTCATCTTCTACACCCAAAAAATCTCTCACAGATTAAAAAAGAATGCCCCTTCCCTTTAAAATTGTCAGATTTCACTTTTTTAAAAAAAAGTAAGTTGGTGATCAAACCCAGGTGGGTTCCATGAAGTTTAAACTCCAGGCTGGCATGCTGTAGGCACAAGCCTTCTGGGAAAGTGATATTTAACATTCAGCAAGGAGCTCAGCTATACAAACACATCTGAATGCTCACACGCCACACAGATTCCACTGCTCCCTAAAGTGAATCTAAGGAAGCTATTAGACAGAATTTGCAAGGTTTAAACCCTCCAGTACAGTTAGCCGCCAGCCCTGAATAAAAGCAGCGACCAGCAAGGATCAGGAATGCATGTTGCTATGGTCTTTCCACTGAAGGAATTCATTTTGGAATTAATTCAATATGAAAACAGAAAAAACTCTCAAGAAACATTCGGAACTATTTTAGGAAAGAAAAGAAGCTGCAGGAAACAATACTGCAGTGATGACTGCTTGCCAGTGCCAGATTCTTCCCTGCCACAGATATGCCAGGAAAGACAGTTAATTTATACAACATTCCTAAGTCACAGGGTAGGAGTGGCTGTAGTGAGAGACAATTAGACACACCAGGATCACAGTCTGAGCCCCATGAAAAACAAGGACACAGAGACGCATGGGAAGACAAACAGGGGAATGAGACATGGCTTATATACCACAGGAAAGCAAACAGCTCATTTCGCTACTGAATTTTGTCACTATTTTAAAAAATAAGTGATTCCACATGGAGCTTTTAAGAATTGGCCTTTAAAAAAATCTCTTTATCAAAATCTCATTATTGCAAGGGATTTAGACCATTGTTCCACCTGATGTTTTGTCAGCACAGCAAAACTTCAAAGTCGCTCTTATTCAACCCACATTCCCAAAACACTGATCTGAAGAAAATTATCATTACAAAAGTTGCAAGACCTAGATAAAAAAAAAAAGGACAAGAATCTATGGATGCACAAAGACTTACACTTCTGTTCCATATCTCTCATCTCTTCTGGAGGAATTTTCATCTTATCAATATGTTCTTGCAAGACACTGGCCCATTTCTGTAAAGACTCCATAACAGTCCAAGGTCTAGACATGTCTGCAACAAAGACTACGATGGTGTCTTGTAAAGATTCTGCAGAAACTGCAAACTTCAACAGCCCTTTATGGTATAAGTCTCCATCCAGAATCCATACGTTACAGCGGGTATGATCTGAAAGGAAGAGGTACAGTTGTAACTCAAGAGATGCCAACTTTTTGGTTTGCTAGTCTATGAGTAAACAGATGAGTACATTAGTGTTAAATGAAAGACCAAAGCCCAACTGCCAGCAGATCTTGCCTGTTTATTTTTAACACAGGTGCATGTGTAAATGCCTACGTTACTCAGTAGGTACTAATTTTACAGTATTTTTACTTGGTTCAGAATCTTTGCATTTAAAAAAGCAGTTTCCGATCTTTGGCTTTTACTAAGCACAGCTGACATAGCAGTTTTTAGATAATGCACAGCATTCTTGAATTCGAAATACATATATTCCAACTACCACCAGAATACATGTGACACATATCTAACTCCAAGTTCAAGAGGGGGTGGGTATAGCCGAGTCCAGCGGGGAAGCCTTAGGTGGCCCTCAGACACATAAGCTGGTTTAACACAGTAAAGACAACTCACAACAGAAATAAGCTGAAAATAAGATACAAGCAATAAGCAGCTTAGCTTTCTAGCACAGGAGTAGGAGGAGCAAATACAAGATAAACTTACAATTTACCAAACTTTAAAGTTGTGCTACCTGCTCTTAATTCACACTGACAACACTGGCTCCTACTCGGAGGCTCCTTACAGAATGAGCAGTGGACAAAAGATGTGGTATTTCATTTTTGTGTTCCCCCTTCCCACCCCCGCCATGTTTTGATAGTGACCGGACATTTTTTGTTGAAACACAAGGCTCCTGTGTGTATGTGGAATCAGCTGGGACAGATAGAGGGCACAAGAAGTTTTACCCCAGACGAGAACTTTGGCAAGAACAGAAGAAACTGAAAATGGAGCATCATCCAGGTATGTTGTATCAGGTACTCTGAACAATCAATTCTGTCCAAATTATAAACAAAAATAATTATCTTCAGAATTTCCTCCTGAAAAGCAACAACTCCATTTGTCTTCTAGAGTCTTCTAGACTCTTCCTAGTACCTCTTCCAGAGTATCCCCTATTTTACTACAGCTGTCCAGAGGGAACAGTGGGTCTCCGCAGGTATTACATGCAAGATCTCTGAATTCTGAACCACATGGATCAGCAAACCAATTGCTGCAGAGTCCAGATTTTCAAAACAGCTACTGAGCTTCATAACTACCCTGCCCTGTGCTCCAAGCCTTTTAACTTCACAAAATAAATTCAGTTGCTGTAGCCATTGTAACTTTAAGAAAGAAAGAATCCATCAAGATCAAAAACACTGGCTCTAGAAAAAGGCAAAAACTGTGAAAGGAGAAAGGTGTACAGAGATACACATACCACCTTTCTGATCAGGTCTCAGATAAAATTACTGAGCAGGTTATGGTCAGATCACATCAAGATGCTATATGTGGGCAGTCTTCATTTAGCATTTGTTATGCTCCTATTTCGGTACTGTTAGGCTGTCACAAGACATTCAAACATCACTGTCACACAAGCAGGCCAACACACTTTTAACTTAAAGATCTGCTTACTTCCAACTGTGCCTCCCAGATCTGTCCTTAGTCGTAAGCAGTTATGGTAATCATTGTGTATGTACCAAATGCATCTTTGCATATTCATTGTTTCCCCACCTCTGTCCCCCCCCACTTCAGGAAACTGTCTCACTGATACCTCACAGGATTCTCACAGCACTGGATGTATGAATCTAAAGCTATTGGAAGACCTCTAAGGGCAGAGGGAAAGTCTGGTAAAAGTTTGGAAAAACAGAGAGGAAGCTAGGACCTGTGAACACATCTACACGTTTACCCTTACGCAGGAGTAAAGGAGACACCAATGCAGGCTAGTTACCCGCCGCATGCCAGAAGCATCCTTCGTATATTCCCAAAAGTAGGAATGTACCAGTGAGTAAAATCCTTGCGAGCTTTCTATGAGTTGAAGGTTATTAATAGACACTAACTATGTCTATGCACAACAGCCTCCTTGAAGCAAAAAAGTTTTAAAACATAACTCTACCTATAGTTTATGATAAAGCTTACAACTCTCATCAGCACTTCCACAGATTATCCTGTGGTGACTGCTTTGATTGCAGAAAAGACTTTCACACCTTAACAAGTAACAAAAATTAATAAATATCCCAGTTTACTCTTTTAAGTCACTTTTTAAAGCCAATAGCTAAAGGTTACAAAGGTTTTGCTGCTAGACACCTTTGTCGCACTTAAGGACTTATTTCTGCTTAACATCTAGAATACAGACTGGAACTAGAACAGAGGTGGAACTAGAACAGAGGTGGAACTAGAACAGAGGTGGAACCATCACTCACATGTAATCAATCTGCTAGTAAGGCTAGAAGTCTAGCACACGCCTTAAAATTCCTTTAAAAAAAAAAAGCGTATGAAAATGAAAGGTTTTGCTCCTTTCTTACAGTAAAGAGGTATGGCTTGAGATTCACATTCGCTACAAATATAACACACACTTAAAAATACAACACGGGATGTTCACAATTTGGCAAGGACTTCATGGCAAATTCAACTTAGCACCACATCAAGCTCCTCCTTAGTCATATGATGTGAATGCTAACTGGGCCTTTCATAGTGGCTATGACGTAAGACACCAAAAGAGAGCAAACAATCACTAGATCCTGCTGGAAAAGCAGGTGCTACTTAAAGACTATTACCATAGCTGCTAAAACTACATTTCTAAATCCTGTCAGTACTTCATTATCCCTTTAGCCACGAAAATGATTTTCCAGCTTTGAAGAATGTTACTGCAGATGGCTGATGCTGTGATCTGCAACTGCAGCTCCTGCATTTATTCACAAGTTATCAGCACTAATTAGATACCCCTTGTCCAAGCCGTGGGGAGAAACAAAACAGGAAAAAATAATTCTCAAGAGAACTACTTCAAAGATATGACCATTTTCCCATTAGAAACCAGTGTACCAGCAGCACTTGGCTCAATCCGGAACAACCAGTTCAACTGGAATATGAATATGATATGACTGAGGCCAGTCCAAACCTGAGGCAAAAAAACCCAAGACTACTTGATTTTGTTACAAGAAAGAATGCAACAACATTACGGCTCTGCTTCCCTGGCACATTTGGCAGAGTCAGGACAACTGTACCGCACCTGTCATCCGAGGCAGCGCAACCAAAAGCTCTCTGTGGTGTTTGTAACTGCCAGCTAACCCATACAGTACCGCTACAAAACCAGTTGATGCAGTGCGTCTGTCTTCCTGCACATCCTCACTTTAACTCTGCCCCACCACTGCCAGAGACCCTGAAAGCTGCCCTGGAAACAGAGATCCTTTAAGAAAATTATGCAGAGCCCCTCTTATAGCTCTTACAAATTATGATTCTCAGCTCTCAAAAGCAGACTGACCAGCACAGACTCAAAACATCTGCTCTTCACAAAGAAAGGCAAAAAATTCCTCTAAGAAACGGACTCTCGGGCCTGAGCTCCAAGGGTATTTCGTATTCTGAGTTAACTTTCCAGCCAGTGCTGTCAGTGCTTCCATCCAGATGAACTACGGCGTCATGTACGCAGAAGCAGCCACAAGCTCCAAGGATACTGTACCTGGGACTAACCATCTAGGAGAATCCTCTCTCTCAGGTTTGCTTCTCGGGCATCCCCAAACCTCTTCGTGAACAAATGCCTTAGCCTATGCAGAATTTGGGATCATACCCTCCTAGGGAGGGAGATTTTCAGGCAGAGATTCAGTAGCGGATTTATTCTGTTATCCTGAGATGCAGGGACCAAAGTACTGAATGTGACATTGAAGGACTAATGTCTCACAGAACTCAACCAGCTCATCACCAACACAGTGGTGATGGGTACCTTGCCATCCAAACTCGGTATCAGCCACAGTCAAGACACAAGCAGAAGACAGTGAAAACAAAAAAGTTAGTGGGCACCTGTATTAGCCACAGGGTTCTTCAAAAAAGTGGTGTTTTCTATGTATTTGTTTAAATTTCCTATTAAAAAAGAACAATATTATCACTGATCTAACCTTTAGGGGAAAAGACAAAAGTAACTGTAAACCAAGACATACACCTAGCAATCCAGAGTAATTCTAATTCCAGTGTAGGAGGAGCCAGATCCAAACACCCCTTAGGGAGGAAGGGGAAATAGTGGGGGAGAAGTGACATGGAAGATTTTCCTTAAGATTTCCAAAGGGAAGCTTGAGGTAGATAATGACTCAGCACTATGACCAAAACATTTCTTCTGGACAGAATAAACTCTTCTGAAATGAAGATGAAAAAGGCAAAGAGAACAAAGAAAGCTTCTGGCACCTGAGAGGGAAGCTGAAAAGATCTTCTCATGCCACCACAGTGTTTCTTACCAGTGTTGATTTGACAAGCATTGTGGCTCGCTGGTCCTGAATAGGTTAGGGTGTTACAAAAAGCAGACACCCTTAAAAACACCCTCACACACGCAAGCTCCTGAACGCCTGTCTTCTATTTGGCTTCCTTATGGCTTCCAAGAATTGTGGGTCAATTATAAAGGCTTTGTTCCTACATCTCTCTGAGCACACACACACCTAAGATCTGCGAAGAGTTTAAAGACACACAGCCAAAT